AATATATATATATATATATATATATATATATATATATATATTAAAAAAATATTTTATTTGAAATAAAGTTTTTTCTAACAATGTAATACATTTTTGGAAAAATGTTGGTGTAAAATTTTGGAATCATTGCCTGATTATTTAAAATCTAATTGCAAATTATAATTTTTTTTTAAAAAGCTACAAAATCTTGGTTGATACAGCAATAAACTTGTAGTCATATTTAGTGTACTTATATTATAAATTTGTGTACTTGTTGTTGTTGTTTGTAACTGTAATTTAAGTTTTCAGCTACAAGCACTACGATACATGCCCTATCTGCCCCTAACAAATAAAACATGAACACAAATTCTATTATAAAGCGGAGAGTTCCGGTGCTTGGCTCTGATTGGCTGAGCCGCGTTCGAAGCTGTTGTGAATGACGCTACAAAGTAACACACAGCTTTGTTTACGTCTGTGTGTTGCTCGGCAACCACTTTGTAGCAACCACAACTGTTTCTGAGGAGCTACATTGTTTGGTGGAAGAATACTGTGTTTATTAATATCATTACTCTTTATTTGCTCCGTTTTATTTCGTGAAACCTTACTACGTGTATGGAATAACCGTTTTATAAAAGCAATAACCCCCGTGAAGCCGTGGTTTACAGTGAATTTATAACAGCTCGTGCCTAACAACGCCCCTTAGCTGTTATAAATTCACTGTAAACCACGGCTTCTTGGGGCTTATTGCTTTAATCAGTTCAACGCATCCTTGCAAAGCTATAGTTATTGAGCTTTGCTTTAGTAGGTTGCTTGTAACTTTTTTGTTACATGTCAAATGAAACTGTTTCTCTCGTGACAGATACGTGATCACGAATCCTCCGTACGACTTCGAGCTGGTGCCTACAGATCTGATCTTCTGCCTGATGCAATTTGACCACAACGCCGGCCAGACGCGCACCAGCCTGTCCACTCACTCCACCTACTGCCCCAGCAAGAAGAGCCCATCCGCCCACTCCGTCCCCTCATCCGCCCGGCCGGGCCGCAGCCGGAGCCGCGACCTGCGCGACAAACAGAAGTACGTTCCTCTGTAAGCGTCAGTGCGGACTCTTATCACAAACACGAATCCCGGACTTACACGTATCAAATGTTTACTTCGCACATCATCTTTAGCGTACTAGAAGTTGCATCTGTATACAGCACCGGCCAGCGTTAACGAATAATGAATCAGTTTGACCATTTTGCACTTTAACTGCACTTTAATCCTACAGTTTGATAACAGCGACTTGACAAACGCTCGTGTGCTTCTACATCCTGGTATTCCTCGTATAACACGGCTGCTGTCTCATGTTACCCACATACAGTGGCTCCAAACGTCTGACGGCTTGCATTTTTAGTTCATAAAAAATGACATTCAATCATTCAGTGAGTACATTTAAATTGAAGTATTTAAATGTAAATATTAAACTAATAGTATTAATTTTTTTTTTGGAAATTAATTTTTTTGCAGCAGTTTCAGAACTCAAATAATGTCAAACAAACATTTTGTGGATTTTAGGAATAAAGAAAATTCAATCCACTGCAGATACATAAAATAAATGAACAATACATACTCAAAATATGCTGACAAATGCACCTCGTATTTGTGGACATGATGAATACATATTTTAATTTATATTTTGCATTTTTAGTTATTTAAAAGTCAATAAAAAACATTAAATAGTAAATAAATAATATTAATAAATATTACACTTTCTGACCATATAAATTGCAGTTAAAATTTGAATTAACTTGAATTTATTTTTAATGATGTAAGACAAACATTTAATGGATTTTAGGAATAGAGAAAAATCTGCACAATTCAATCCATTATAAAACATAAAATAAATGAACAATACATACTAGAAATATACAAAATATGCCATCAAATTAATCAAATATAAAGATCACAATAGTGTACATATTTTTTAAATTGATGTTTTACATGTTCAGCTACTAAAAAAGACTTAAGTCAATAAAGATATTAAATAATAAATTAATGTTAATAAAGAATATTACATTGTCTAATCATAAATTGCAGTGAAAATTTTAATACACTTTTTAAAATACAAATTTTGTAATTTGTGATGTATTTTTGAACAATTTAGATTATTTTGTAGATTTTTCAACAGAAAAAAAAACTGTACAATTTGAATCAGTTGCAGATCCATAAAATAAATCAACAATACTTTACAAAATACAAAAACAAACGCATCAAATACGTATAAAGTTCATGATGAATAAAACTGCATATATTTTAATTGAACAAAATCTATATCAGGTCAGTGTCACAAAACATTTTGATTAGTGACAGAGAAATAGTGCAGAATCTGAAATATGACTTCATTATATTTCAAATCTTCCAGGGTTTTCTCAGACATTTGGACCCACTGTACTTACACATCAATATATATATGTGCTCATAAAGAATGTTTTTATTTTCCATTCACTGCCTTCTTGAGACGACAGATGACAGAATGAGAGTTTAATCACTCCAGCCTTGACAGAAACGCATAGCAAACGCATGAAGACGTACGCTTCTGGACCACTGCGAAACAAAGGCTAAACGTCCGCGTGATTCTGACCGGGTTTATGGTCATGATTTAGAAACCCATCTCAAATGAAGCGAATGGAAACGCTGATTTTCTGACGCTGAAGCATTATTCCTCAAGCTGGTCTAATGTGTTCTCCTGCAGCCGTCGCTCCACGCTTCTGTGCTGAGACTCATTTGACAAATGTTTTATCTTCCATTCAAAATCTTTTCCAGATTTCTAAGGCTGTTAAACTCTTTTGGACTCGGTTGGTTGGTATAACTCACGTAATATACGAAAGTATTGCGAGGCTGCAAGAATAAAGTTGTTTGAGGAATATTTGTAAAGAAGCAAGCGGGACGTTTGTTTGCTTTTTATGTTTAATTCACGTTTATTGCTATAGTAAGACGCTCACACCAAAGTTTTGATTCTCTCAATATCACGTGTAAGAGATTTTTCTTATATGATTATAATGAACTAGTGTATGCGATATCTTAAACATAATAAAAGTATTTTTTTCTGCATTGATGATGTGACGTCTTTGCTTTTAAAACACTTAAAGCATCTGCTTTTGCTCAGGACCTCATTTTCATTGATATTCATTTTATTATTTAAAAAAATAATTTTTGTGCTTTATGTATATTTTTTATTGTATTACTTTTTATTTTAGAATTTTAAAATTACATTTTGATTTTAATAATTTAATGCAGTTATAATCATTTTATTATTTAATCATTTTAAAATTACATTTTGATTTTAATAATTTAATGCAGTTATAATCATTTTATTATTTAATCATTTTAAAATTACATTTTGATTTTAATAATTTAATGCAGTTATAATCATTTTATTATTTAATCATTTTAAAATTACATTTTGATTTTAATAATTTAATGCAGTTATAATCATTTTATTATTTAATCATTTTAAAATTACATTTTGATTTTAATAATTTAATGCAGTTATAATCATTTTATTATTTAATCATTTTATATACTGTAAATTGATAACTATTTTAAAGCTAAAGTACAAATACACTTGTGTGTGTGTATATATATATATATATATATAAAAAAAAAAATTTTAATGTTACAATATAAACTAAAAGTAAAAAATAATATTTTATTATTTTAGTAATTTATGATGATTTTATTATTTAAATTATTTAATGATTTTTTTGGTAAATTGATAACATTTTTTAAACGTAAGTACAAATACATTTGTAAATACTTTCATATTTTTTAAATTTTATACATTGATATATATTTTAAACCTAAGTATACGTGTGCATATATATATATATATATATATATATATATATATATATATATATATAAAATAAATAAAATATTTTAATTATAATTTTTATA